CACAAAACAATCAAATCCATATGCAAAGCATTGCAAATAGCAGTCAAGCAATGCAATCAAAATAATACAGTGGTGAGTATAATTTGTGCCGATGCAGATGGTTCTAGCGAAAGTCTCAATCAGCTAGAACCATCGTTCATGTACACGCAAATCTTCAAGGAAATACTCCTTGATATGAATCATGGCCAACAAGCCATGAAAGATTTAGTCAAGTTTTGTCAAGAACAATACGAAGGTAACAAAAATGAACTCAAACTTATTGATGAATTCCAGCGTACTTATCATGCAACATTCGCGATATGGTGGTATACTCGCGAATGTTTCACATATAAAATGCTCAATCGAGCATTACGAACGCTCGATGGTGACATCATCATTAGGATGGGATTTTATTTATGTGATGTCCATCGACAAATTGAAGATTTACACAAGACACAGATTCATCAATATAATGGTAAGGCCTTTCTAGTTTATCGGGGGCAGGGATTATCGACGGCAGATTTCGAAAAAATCGCTAAAAACAAAGGTGGACTTATTTCGTTTAATAACTTTTTATCGACCAGTAAAAATCGAAATATCTCTCTCGGGTTCGCCAAGGATGCCTTAGGAACAACAGATACGGTTGGTGTTCTTTTCCAAATGACCATCGATCCCACAGAGTCATCAACTCCATTCGCTTCCATTCGAGAGCTGAGTGAGTTCGCACAAGAAGATGAAATTCTCTTCTCAATGCACACAGTTTTTCGAATTGGTGATGTTCGAAAAATTGACAAGGAAAGTCCACTTTATGAAGTGGATCTCAAACTTACAGCAGATGATGATCAACAACTCCGTCGATTAACCAAAAGTATAGCAGAAGAGATCGGTGGCACCGGGTGGTATCGATTGGGTCAATTGCTGCTCAAAATAGCTCAATTCGACAAGGCCGAGGAATTGTATACCGCATTACTAGAACAGGCATTGAACGACAGCGATAAAGCACATCTTTATCATCAACTTGGATGGTTGAAAGATGACCAAGGACAATACAAAGAAGCAGCTTCATTTTATGAGACATCTCTCAAAATCAAACGAAAAACTCTCCCAGAAGATCATCCTTCATTGGCTAATACCTACAACAACATCGGTCTCGCATATAACTACTTGGGTGAATACCCGAAAGCACTTGAATTTTACGGAAAATCGCATAAAATTTACGAAAGATCTCTGCCATCGAATCATCCTGAACTGGCTGGTTCCTACAACAACATCGGTCAAGTGTATAACAACATGGGTGACTACTCGAAAGCACTTGAATTTTTCGAAAAAGCACTTAAAATAAGAGAAACAGCTCTGCCTCCGAATCATCCTGATTTGGCTATTTCCTACAACAACATCGGTGCAGTATATAACGCCATGGGTGACTACTCGAAAGCACTGGAATTTTACGAAAAAGATCTAGAAATCATAAAAAAAGCTCTGCCTCCGAATCATCCCGATTTGGCTCAATCCTACAACGAAATCGGTACAGTGTATTACAACATGGGTGACTACTCGAAAGCACTTGAATGTTTCAAAAAATCACATAAAGTCTTCCAGGAAACTCTACCTGCAAATCATCCTCATTTGGCTTATCCATACAACTGGTTTGGAAAGATTTATCGCAGTATGAAAGATTATCCAAGAGCACTTGAGAATTTCGAAAAGTGTCTCTCAATATGGCAAAAAGCCTTATCTAAAAATCACCCCCTTCAAGCTGTGGCATATAGTAATATTGGTGATGTTCATCGACTAATGGGAGATTATGAAAAAGCATTGTTATTTCATCGAAAAGCATTAAATATCCAAGAAAATGTTCAATGTAATCCTCTCGAATGTGCATTAACATATATAAATTTAGGTGAAACTTATCGAGAAATGAAAGATTATTCAACAGCATTGACATATTTTCAAAAAGGATTAGAAATACGTCAGAAGAAATTACCAAAAGATCATCCTGATTTAGCTGTTGTATATCACAATATGGCAAAATTATATTTATCTACTCGACAATATAATATGGCAATGAAAAATATTCAACAAACGATTGAAATTGCACAAGAAAAATTACCTTCAACTCATCCTCATCTTTTGGACTATAAAGAAACATTTGAAAAAATTCGAAAGAAAATGTAATTCATCCTTTTTGTTTGCTCAATAAATTCATTTCGATTGCTATTCATTTTGTTTTTCGGCTCATTTTCGCGTACGCGCGCGCGCGACCAGGGAGAGACCCTGTAAGCCTGAAATGGGTACACGCAGAGCGGACCACGCCGGACTGGTAGGGCATGATCGTAGGTATGACGTACATAAAGACGACAGGGACCTACGAACAGAAAGACCTTCCCGAGTACAACACTGCTTTCACCATAACAGGCACAAGGAATCTCCCTGGGTCAGATTACGAAGCCACCTGACAGGCTGTCATAGAAAAAGAAACAAAAATAGATAAACCTCCTCAAGAAAAAAAAAAATTTTCTATGTTGAAAAGTTCTAGTGGCCACTAGAACTTTTCAAGATAGAAAATTTTACTATCCCTCTCTTCTACTTCTTAAGAGAAAAAAAATATAAACAATATACTTTATTAATAATTGAAATATAAAATATAAATAATAATATATATATATATATATATCATTGACATAACGTTATGTGTATAATAATTTCA